TTCTCTTTCATATATTTGACTTCTTTTTACAATTCCATGACGTCATCATGGTAAAAAAATTAGGTTTTTTTTACCCCCTCATTTCTCTTTCTTCAAAACGTTGATTGCCCCATATAATCTTAACCATTCGTCATTTCTAAATCATATTAGGTGAGCATAAGCTTCAGGTCAAGGTTGAATGTTATGTACCTTAATTTTCCGTTCGCGTTTTTTAGCGTGCACGTACACGTGCGTCAAAATTTATATATGCATAAAACCATGAATATTTTTAATCAGTTATAGCTAGTTAGGATGAAAGGTGACCCCCAATTTTTATTACATATTCTGAAAGCACATGAGTTGTAGATACGATTTTATAGATGATAATGGCTGATCGGACATTGTGACGTCATCTTATTGCCATTTTAATTTCAAAAAATTGAATTTTTATTTATGACGTTATTACTTTTTATACTCCTTTGAACGTACTCGATTATCTTGATTGATTATCTCCCACCTGTGAGTATGTTATAGCTAAATCAATTCTCTTTCGGACGTGTCCCTGTATTTTTTATTTTGATGACGCCATCATGTTCAAAAAGAATGCTTTTTTTGGAGCCTTCTCATCTTTCTTTCTTAAAAGATGTAAACACATTGCAAATAGAGGGCGGCAGACTGTATTTCGACACTATCAGACCGATAGTTCGTATACTATAAAGGCAAAATTCGTGTGGCATTACCAACCAACAGGGGGTTTTAAATTAAACTTGACAAGGTTTAAATTCATGTGCCATTACCGTCGTCAGGCACGTCGTATAAGGTATTCGTACTTGTGCGTTAAAATTTTAAAATTGTTAATATCACTTTTCAAATAATTTAAAGCACATTTCAGGTCATTTTGAATATTCCAAAACTTTCCAAAATTTACGCGCCGTACGCTCATTTCCACGCCCACAGCACGTACTGAAGCTGGAAATTACATTTCAGTTACATGTGTTGGGTTTCTGACACTGTATTAATACTACCGTGCGTACGGACGTTAAGACGTATGTGTACACATTCGTAAGTCCATAAAATGCTCAAAATTACTCTTTTCCTTTAAAATTCCTTTTAAAATGCTCAAAATTACTCTTTAAATAGAGCATGTTTTAGCATATAATACTTTTCAATCAGAACCGTGCGTGCTTCGTGAGGGTCAAAGTACGGCGGATCACCTAACTCGTCCTCAGTGACGAGTTCAAATCTAGTTAGTAGTTGGATACGTAGTCTTTCTTCCATAGATTGATGAACTGATAGGCCTGAAGAACACACTTTAGAGCCAAAACTGTGTTTTTATTTGTATAATTGAATGCTAGTTGGGCTAAGCCTATTTTGTCCAATCTGCCAACCTCTATATGTATGCCTACGTAGGTAATAGCATGTCTTTTGTAACTAGTAGAAAATACCAGTAATCCTCAAATAGGCAGCTAATGCACATGCTCAGTTAATACTACAGTATATTGATCACTCAGCAACCAGTCACTGCAACCTGTCAGTTTGATTTATTATAGCCTATATAACTATATAAAGCAGCAATTATAGTCAAGTTATTTCAGACTCTATAGGAAATAATAAGGCTTAGGATTCATTATTTCCTTTAGAAAACCCTGCAAAAATCTTGCTAATCCCAATCGACAGATGGCCAACAAGCTTATCGCCACCAGCACCACAACCACTAAATTCATCTGCTGCTGTGTATACCCATAAGCATTCTTGTCATGAGCCATGGTCTCCTAGACAATCATATTTTCTGCACCAGAACCATTCGTTTTATCATCGGTTTCTAGTTGTCCTTAAAAAATTTTTTTTTTATACAAAGTTCCCTTAGCATCCACTCAATCTCCACCAATATCCATAAGCGCCCTCAATTTCCACTCTGTTTTTATAAATGCCCCGTTTGAATAAGCACACCTCAAAAGGTACAAAAAATATTGTAAGCACCCGGGCGCTTATTCCTACAAGTGCAGTGTCCTAGCATTACCACTTTTCATGTTGGAACGATTTTTCAACACACTGGAAATTTTAGATTAATTTTTTTTTTTTTTTTTTTTTTGAAGAGAAATAGGAGTTAAACTATTAATAATAGAGACTATGAGTAAAATAACTATCGGAAAGTAGCCATTTTGTTATTTTTCTCTGCGGAAACAAGACCCAAGATTTTCAATAAATTTCCATATGAGGGTCCACACACCCTCTCTATACTGTGGGAAAACATGGTGTATTATATGAACTTTATTAAAATCTCACTGCATAATGTATTGATTTTATTTGGAAATTGTAATTTATTTTATAGGAAAACATTAAACCAGCCATGAATCAATCTAAAGGGTGAGTTAAAATGTGATGCTACAATTCATCAGACTTGTGGAGGCCGGTTACTGAGGCAGAGTTAAGGGGGGGGGGAGATTTATTTTGTTAATTTGTCAGCATAAGCTACTAGGTAAGTAATATTTTAGAACATATAAGATAGTATAGTATATACTCCAAGTATCGAAATGCACGCCATTGTGTCAGGATTCAATATTTCAACATTCATCAGGACCTGGTGATGACATAATTAATGTTGAAATATTGATCCTGACACGATGGCGTGCATTTCGATACTTGAAGTATGTATTATACTATCTTATTTTAGAACATGTTTGCCTATTAATCAAGCATATTTTTTCAGTGGATCTTTTTTTTCAGTGCTTGAAACTAAGATATCTTATGTAATGGTGGCTGTAAAATGGTCACAACTAATGGTCTGATTAATTTAGTTTAATAGAATGAAATGTTGACATTTGGCCTAGAATATGAGTCAATTTTATTTTCACATAATTTTCCTATCCATGAGCTGACACTAATTTGATACAGAGTGATGGTATATTTTGCAGCTTTGTGCAAAGCTGCTGTTTCCACCAAGCATATTGATGAAGTCTGCTACAAGGGAAATGTTATCATAGAGTACCACAGTCGTGTTGTCACGACGCCAGGTGGTGCTTTCTGTTGTCAACAAATGTTGGTAACCTGGAATAGGCATTTTGAAATCTATTATTTTACCATCAAAATGTACTAAAAGTACAAGTGCTCGCAATATATTAGTTTGAACACACATTTAATCAGCAACTAAAATTTACAGAGAAAAAAATAAGATAAAACATATTAATAATTACGTTAGAAATTTGGATCAATGGTTTGTCAGTTGAGAAAAAGGCGTCCGGTTGAACAAATTCTGCAGTGATAGCAACGAAGTAGTATCGCATGATATCGTGACGTAACACTATAGTACTCTATGCCGAAATAATTCTTGGTAAACAAAAAAGTCCCTAAGTAGAATTCATGAGAATATATGAAATGCAAGAGATTTAAAACATTTTTTATTGCTTTTTTCAGATATATTATTTTTTCCAGTGTTTTCTTAAACATTTGTTATTCCATCATATAATATTGCACAGTAATTTTCTGTCTTTGGCAAATGAAAAATAAGTATAAAAGTGTATGGGTAATGATACAATATTTATTGTAGGTTATTCTACATGCCTGCTTTTTTTCAACTAAAAAAGTAATATCTTCATTTCTTTCTTCAGTGTGAAAGTTTGTGAAACCCAACAGTTTGAATAAAATATTTAGTGAATTCCTGTGAAACAGAGCAAACAAGAAGGATGAAAGAATCAGGTAAAATACTGATAATCATTTTTGGCAATATATAAGATTTCTATTTTACACATCACGTTTAATAAACTTAAAACAGTAACATGTCATAAACAGTATGCAATCTCCACATCTGCGGCAGGTAAATGCCGCATAAACAAAACATAACAGAATTGTTAACTAAAGTACAGGGTCAATAAAAATTATTTGCATTCTTCCAGGTGTACATCCAGTATACTTGTGGGTGAAAAGGGAATACAGTAGGTAGATAAGTTTTCCTAAAGAACACAATTGTTTGTTGTCAAATCAAACCCCAACTTCAGAGTTAAAATCGAGATTTGCGATAAACTACAATTTCATACAAATTAAGAAGTCAGTTTGGTACAGTACTGTACCTCCAACCATTACTATCCTTATAAAATGGCTCCAATCCAAATTTTGTCAGTATAGTCTGGGGGAAAGAAATTACCCTCCCCCTTTAAATTTGCCTCTGGGGAGATGTGTGATGACTCTGACCAAGGACTTAACTGTTACCAGGATAGAAAGCTGGCTGGTTTAAGCCGTCTAACTTGAATTAGCCTTATGTGTGGTATTGTTATGCTAATGAGCCAGATAAGCACAATCTGCACATGCTCAGAAAAACAAAACTTTCCTTAGCCACACTACGTATTGGCTAGGCGTACAGCTAGGCCTGGTGGAGAATTATGGTACGGTAAAACAAAGCAAAATAAGGGAACTAACTTCACTTGGCATGCAAATCAATCGTACTTACACACACACACAAATAATCTACCAATAAAATCACCTGCTAGTTAAGAAATAAGGCAAGAATGTTCACAAATTTAATTTTAAATTGATGTAATTTTGTTTTCTAGTATTGCAATGAACATCATATAGGCAAGCCCAGGCCTAGGCCATGGTTAACCACTTATAAAGATGTAGATAAAAGACCCAAAACAAATTAGAATTAAGTTATCAACTAACTAGTGCATTAAAATTATTCATGTACTTAATACTACTTACCTATATAATATTCAAAATGTATTGCTCACAAACGCCAGTATTTTTTATTTTAATACGCCATTTCCACGAATTGGCAGACGTCTTGAAGTGATAACAAAAAACCTAAGTCAGTGGTGCATAACCAACAAAAATAACATAAGCTTTGAGGCTAAATTGACCTCATGTTATTTAAAAATTCATAACTCCATAACGGAGGGTCGTATCACATAGATTTTTCTTGGAAAATGTATTTTTTTTTGTTGGTTAGCTGATATGCAGTCTTGCTAAGGAAAGTTGTTTTTCTGAGTACAGTATGTGCAGATTGTGTATATCTAGCTCATTAGCATAACCATACCACACATAAGGCTAATTCAAGACACTGCTTAAACCAGCCAGCTTCATATTTTGGTAACAGTCCTTGCTCTGACCACTGGTATCGTAAGTTCATCAGGCAAGTGATACTTGGCTTAGTTTAGTAGAAAATTATACTTATTTTCTGACGACTGGGTTTTTTATTCAAGTTACTGAGCAATGAGCATCAATTGTACTGTATCAAATTATAGTATCTAGATGACATTGCAACAATTAATAATAATAATAATTTTTGCCATTAAGCATTTATTCAAACTATTGCTCTGCAATAAAACAATCACTTGGAGGAGAAATAAGTCCCAGATTGATGTTGAATAGTAGTAGAGGTGGTTGGCGCATCGATTGTGGCTTGGACTTCAGGCCGAGGGTTTGAAACTCTTGCTGTGCAAGTCACTTGTGTCCTTGGACAAAGCACTTTATCTACTATTGTCTGTCTCCACCCAGGAGTACAAGTGGGAACCTGGTAGGTTCAAACACAACCATGCACTGATTACAGCTGCAACATTATGGGGCATGAATGTGGTTCCATGTGCTTGATCTAGTGACCGGGGGTAATAATGTATAGCGCATAGAGGTTAGTCTACAATATGCGCTATATAAGTTGACAATTATTATATTATATTATATTATTATTGAATAAAGATTTCTCTGATTCTTGTTAAAGAAAAAACATTTTTTGATATGTTGCACAACTGATATTTTTTAGACACAAAAATGTGTTTGACAAAAAATGTGGGAGCGTTAATGAGAAACAGGGCGATTGTGATCATCTGTAATTCATTAAATTGCTAAAAAGTTGAGATTTTTAAAATAATACATTCTCACATACTACCTTTACTATATTGCTTATCATTTTTCTTCAGAGTTCTCATCACTGCTGGTGCAACTTTCTGATGCAATCAGCAAGAAAAGTGAAATTTATGTAGATATGTTGAGGGTTTTATACAAAGAACTTGCTGATAATACATCGAATTTGGAGAAAGCTAAATCTGCATTTGAATTATTCAAATTACTAATAGCACCAGGCATCTTGAAGCCAACAGACATTTCGGTTTTGTTTGAAACAATTGAACTAACTGGATTAAAATATTTGAAGGATATAATTAAGAAGTATGAGACATATCCAGATGAAGTAGAGATCAGTAAGTTTTCACCACACCGTCAACAAATTGTTGCTCTGGGAAATGTGTTTTCAGTTAAGGATCTCCAAGATGTTTGTAAACTACATGAATGTAACTTTACTAATCCATGGAAATTGATTCAACATCTTGAAGATGAATCTGTTTTAACAGAAAATAACATGCCAATATTTCATCGACGTTTACAAGAAAGAAAAGAAAGTGAAGGTTAGTGAAAAGTGTAAATATTTGTTATTCTTTCTCACACATGTGAACACCCCTCGAAAAATAATAGAACAGTCGACTCCTGGTGCAAGCTCAAGCGGCCCCGCCACCATGCAACTTCCTCATTCTTTTTCGAGTCATGAGAAAGTGAACACTTCAGAATTATAAATTTTTTTTTATATTACTTGCTTATACAAGATCTTCTTTGGATTTTTACTGTTCTTGCTTGCTGTCACCATGACTGGGAAGTCGGAATGTCCGATCTGTTGGGGCCCTACGTCCAGTCCTAAAGTGGACAATCATAAAGTTTGCCCAGCATGTAGTTAGTGCAATGCTGAATTTCCTTGTGAGATTTGTGTGAGATGAATGCCATCTCGATTCGTAATCATCCAGGCCTGGCTGGCTGACCGTTTGTCGGGGGCTCTGGCCCCTGCAGATGTGGGAGCGTCCACTTCTGATGATTTCCGCCGCCGGTGCCGACACCTGCTTTTTCGCAGCCTGAAATTATGCAGGCAATTGCTGCGGCGGTGCAGACTACACTGCAAGCCACGTTGAATGTCGCAACGGTGTCGCATCTGGCCGTTCATCCTCTTTCCCTTGAACAGCTGCCGGACCTTTCGTCTTTTGCTGATGAGGAGATGGCCTCTCTTTCTGGGGAAGAGGAGAGGGACCGTGGGTAAGGTAAACCATGTTATCCCCACTGTTTTGGCGCACCTGAATATTACCGCGCCCGATGCCGAGCCGCCGGACCATCATTGGCCTACATTCGAGAACACCCGTCCATTGCTGATTGTTTCTTCATTTCCGGTGGTCCCTTTGGACCCTGCTCTCCTTGCTCGCCTGGAAGTCCAGGCAAAGGAAGTGACTCCACGTAAGGCCACACCCAGGCGTTTGTCTGCGGCCTTCCCGGTGCCTGAAGCACAGTATCATACGCTGCTGGCTGCACCGTCCATTCCCTGTGCGGCTCGCAATCGCGTTCGGGAGGATCAGGGCCTCATTGTCAGCTCTAAATTTGAAATGGTAAAATATATGATATGACAACCATAGCAGGCCCTAGCATACCCTGCAATTTACCCTACGGTCCACCACTGGTGGTGACGTCACAACTGACTTATAATAAACATTAGAGTATAGATGTTAGTATGTTAATGTGGTATAAACCAAGTATGATAGATGTTCACTTGTTGTCCTGTATGTACACATACTGTAAATCAGTGCAAACATTTTGATAAACACTCACTGGATATGTGCTGCCAAGAGAGTTAACAATACCAATGATTATATAAAATTACCTATTCTTATTTAATTTTTCATGGGTTTTATTTTTGTTTTTAAACAGATTTCGTTCAACTGCTTGTCAACGTTTCTAATGCAATCAGTGGGACCGATGAAACATACGTAGATATGTTGAGGGTGCTCTACACAGATTTTGCAAAAAATAAATCAGAATTAGAAAAAGCTGAATCCGCATTTGATTTATTCAATGTACTCAGAGTAGGAGACCTTTTGAAGCCGAAAGACATTTCAGTTTTGTTTGAAACAGTTGAAGTAACTGGATGGAAATTTTTGAAAGAGATAATTAAGACATATGAGATGTATCCAGCGGAAGTGAAAATTACTAATTTTTCAGAACATCGTCAACATGTTTTTGCTCTTGGAAACAACTTTACAGCTAGTGATTGTCTGAGTGTTAGTTACAGGTTCAAAGTTCCAGCTAAGTGTCGTTCCAATCCATGGAAACTACTTACATTCCTTGAAAATGAGAAGATTATTTCAGTACAAAACTGGTCATCGTTTGTCCAGAAGTTGGAAAAAATTGGTGTGTATAAATATTACAATTATTTTTTTAAACAATAGCCAATTGAAAGCCAAATCTTTATATGATCATTTTACCTGAAATACAGTATTTTATCCCAAATTACTGATTCCCACCTTCCCCCCCCCCAAAAAAAAAATCGCCAAAAAGAGAAATGAAACTAACATTTGTAGAAGTTTGAGCCCTTATAATGTACCTAATACCATGCATTGTCTAGAATCTCTATAAAACATGAGTCTTATACTGTATAATATATACAGGGTAAATTTTTTTCGCTACTGGTCTTGTGAAACGTTCGACCATGCTAGGTTTACTTCCAAGTGTGATTGAAATCTGCTCCCCCCTTCCCCCCCCCAAGCACCTATAGACCCTCTGATCTAAATTCATTATTAAATTACAAATAAATGCTCAATTCCTGTCAGTTTTGTTGTCAACATACCAGTTGATGAAGGGTACAATAAAATAAAATAAATGACAAGAACTAAAGAAAATTAATATTGTAGATAATTTTTAAAATAATTTAGTTTTATGTCACTAATGTTATGCTGTTGAAAAATGTGTAGCATGTATTTGATGTGCTCTACTGTACTGTAATTATACTTTAATTTAAAATTTATCTTTACAGGTATTAAAAAACGATCACCAATAAAAAGGCAAATGTTAAGCGAAGGTTTGTACTTATACTAAAATTACAAAAATATTCATTCAATAGTGAACTTAATCACTTTTCTATATCCTTCACAAGATAAACAAATTAGTACACATAAGATGCTCTCTATAGACTGAGTCCCATTATGAGGCTTTAGAGGGGGCTGAGTTGTTTACAGGTAGGTTGTCAGAAAAAAATCCTGTTGCCATGAGAGGAATATAATTCAGATGGGCAATTCTGCATGTCTTTGATTTATACAAACGTAATAGATAATACTAGATTTGAACTCGTCACTGAGGACAAGTTTGGTGATCCGCCGCACACAAGGAAATGAGCGTACGGTGGATAAATTATGGTGAAAATATCCTGAAACGTGCTTTAAATTATCTGAAAAGTGATATTCAGAATTTCCAAATTTTGCCGCACACGCCCCGACATGCGCATGGACGGTAATGGCATACAAAATTGAACCTTTTCAAGTATAATTTAAAAACGCCTCTTGGTTGGTAATGCCACACAAATTTTCCCTTCAAATTATGTACTGTCAGTCCGATAGCGCCAAAATACAGTATGCCGCCCTCTCTGTCGTCTTTTGATTTTTTGACAAATTTGAAGAAAGAGAGATGAAAGGGCTCCAAAAATTCATTCTTTTTGACCATGATGACGTCATCAAAATAAAAAATAAAGGGACGCTTCCGAAAGAGAATTGTCTCAGCTACAACATACTCACAGGTGGGAAACGATCAATTAAGAACAAGCGAGATACGTTCAAACGAGTATAAAAATAATGACGTCATAAATAAAAATTTAGTTTTTTCTTATTAAATTCAAATGCATTATGATGACGTCACAATGTCCGATCAGCCATAATGATCTATACTATCATATCTACTACTCATGTGCTTTCAGAATATGTAATAAAAATTTGGGGTTACCTTTCATCCAAAAGAGCTCTAACTGATTAAAAATAGGCATAATTTTAAGCATATATAATAGTTGACGCACGCGTATGCGCACGTTAAGAAGCGCGAACGGAAAATTAAGGTACATGACATTCAACTGAATTTGAATGTTGAAGGGTAAGGCTTACATGTCAAGGTCACAATCATTAAAAAATGATTTTTTGAAATAGTTTTTATCAGAAATTTGTCAAATTTGGTCACAATGTATAACTGTTTGCCATAAAGAGGTGTGTGTGTGTTTGTGTTTATGCCGGCTACCCGCCGGCAAAAATTTGTTTATATACTACATTGAAAATGAATACTTTCAGTAATAAAACAGTTAATATTTTTTATGAATACAGTGGAATAATATTCAATTTAAACATCATTTTTCATTATGCGAAATAGAAAAAGTCTATGGTACAGACCTGTATTTAGTATATTTTTTTTTTTTACAGATAGTGATATTGTGGAACCGTCACCATCAAAAAAACAAAGGTTAGACCAAGGTTTGTACTGCTAAATTCTTATGTATGCAATATTTATTTTTGTGCATGCTTGCATAAAAACATCTTTTTTGGATTTGTATGATATAATATATAATAAATATAAATTATTGTATAAGATAATAAACATATTGCAACCAAACATTGGTTGACAGGGAGCCAGAGGGAAGATTAAGTACATTTTCTTCACTTTATAATTGTTTTGTCAGTGCAGTTGTTTACATGCAATAAATTGTTTCTTTATAGGTAATGAAAAAGCATCAACATCAGAAATGCAAATGACATACCAAGGTTGGTATTGTGTACTAAATATTATCAGATTATTGTCAAGTTAGTTTGGACCCTACAGCAAATAGAAACTTCGGAGCCTCTTCCTGGAAAAATAGTATAAAACTTTTGAATATTTACTAAATTAACAGTATATCATTTAGGCCATATTGATTTATTTTGTCTCAAAGCTCTCCTGTTTCTAAAAATATAATGTGGAATGCCTTTTTTGTGTTAATTTTTATGGTTGAATATATTTTCATAAAAGTATTTTTATGGTTGAAGTGATCATAAACACCATGTATGATGCTACCCAGAAACAGTGCTAAGAGTCATGTCTTTTTCATTTTCTATTTTGTCTGATATCAGTTAAAAACAAATTATATAAAATGTGCAAAGATATATGCTTAGGTTGGAAGGAAATCCCACAGTATGCAAGGCCTATCTAGGCCTAGGTTTACACTAGGTTGATTTGTATTATTTTGCTTCATTGTGGAATGTGGTAATTTCACCTATTGAACACTACAACTATCTTTGTAAACTAAGGAGCTTAGACTGTTTCATTAAGCCTGCCTGATCTCATTATCAAAAGAAAACATAGAAAACACATAACAATAATTGATAAAAGGAAAACATTTGGAAAACTCCCTAGGATAAAATTCTTAAAATAAATGACATGGTAGGGGACAGAGCCAAAACAGATTACATTAAAAGAAAGAAGAACAGAACAAAATAGACAAGGAGAAAAGACAATGGTATAAAATATATTGCGTAGTAATGTAGGAAATGGCTTATTAGAAATATAAAATTTGAAAAAATGGGAAAATCATTGGGTTTCATTCAAAATGGAATACTGTATTACAGTGTTAAAAAAATATTCAAATTCTTAAGAGGGGCTCGGCCGACATAGCTTCGTCTTTGCCATTAGATATGGAGATACATTAATCAGAAGTCTTTACCACTTCTTACATAGCTAGATTGTGGATTTTACTTAACACGGGACTGCATTTTTTATTATTCATCAGTCAATCATTAAGTTGAGTTTTAAAGCTGAAAACGAAAATTAAAAAGCTTTAGACGTATAATTTAATGTGATGAACTTGTGTGAGGCCTTTAAAAGGTAAGCGCTTTTCTCACTTAAGAATTAAAGTGTGTTAACACACAACATGTTTAAGTCTACAATCTCTAGCAGGGTTTTTTTATATGTAACAGATGTTTCTACCTTTTTAGGCGAAAATAACGCACACAAATTACTAATGGCGTAGGAGCTTTGAGACACACTATTAAATTAACATGGTCTTACTAATAATATACAAACTATCTCTGAAGTATAAGCTGATCTCCAGCATTTATCTGCTGTGCTTAAAATGAAGAGGATTATGTTATATTTTTATTATAAAAAAAAACCTTTTCTTTATAGGTAGTGAGGAAGCATCAACAATAGAAAAACAAATAATACACCAAGGTTTGTATTGTGTACTCAATTTAGTGTATGCAATTATTGTCAAGTTATTTTGGATCCTACAGAAAATAGAAGATTTAGGAGTTATTATTTCCTGAGTTTATATATCTCGGTATCTTTATTCAAATTCCTTATAAAAAATTAAAAATCAAGTTGGAGACACTATTCACAAACAGCCAATGAGAAACATCAATCAAAATATTTAAACCCTAGTAAAATATAAAAATAGATTAAACCTTAGTCAAATACAAAAATATTAAACCCAATTTATTATTGCTATGAGTTGTGGACGTTAAGAAATAAAGCTTTAGACTGTGTACATGTTTTAGATGTTTATTCAGCAAACATTAAAATCAAATGTGAAAACCAACCATGACTTACAGAATGTGTAAATTTTAATGGAGATGCCAAAAAAAACAAAAACAAACAAAAACAAAATATTCGATATTCAACAGTTTTTGTAGTGGCTATCTTGAATTTGAGAATGGCTGCCATCCTAGCTTTTTGAAACCATGTTTTTTGGACTCAGAGAGCACAATGACATATGATTAGACACAAAATTTACCATTTTTGATAGAGAAGTGCAATTATAAAAACAAAATATTAAATGTTGTCCAACCTTTTTTGTAACCATGTATATTTTGCCTCAGAGACACATGTTCTTACACACCAAATTTACCATTTTTCATCATGGAGAAGTGGAATAACATAACAAAATATTCATTTTTTTTTGTGGTGGCCATCTTGAATTTCAAAATGGCTGCTATCCTATCTTTTTGAAACTGTTTATTGAATTCAGAGAGCTCAAAAACATATTATTACACCCAAATTTACCATTTTTAGAGGAGATGTGGAATTACTGAAATTCATTTTTGTGTTGGCCATCTTGAATTTCAAAATGGCTGGCGCCTTAGGCTTTTGAAGCATGCCTCAATGCATTCAGTGACCCCCCAATAACATATACACCAGACTTGCCCTTTTTCATTGACTATAAGTAAAGTTAATAATAATAATAATAATAATAAAAATAATAATAATGGGAAAATAATAATAATAATAAAAGGTTTATTTAACCATGGTTAACAATTGATCACCTTCATGGTGTTTTTCATCGATGCCGTAACAGACAATAATCAAACTTAACTAATGTTAAACAAAGATTAATATTAATTACAGAAAAAAAAAGGAAAATAAAACCAAATTAGAAAACAAAAATTAAAACATCAAAATACAAGATACAAAAAATTATTGTTATACATAAAAATGTGCTAATCTAAGATAATAGATTGAGTTATGAGCCAACATCTGAATTTTGGCAGTCATTTTCAAAATAGTTGCTAAGCAATGTGTACGCCCTTTTTCAGGAGGTTCCCCCTGCACCAGTTTTTTTATTTATACCCTAGTGATGCTAAATCAGTAGAGAAACTTTGGTCCCCGAAGAATGTTCACGGGAGCCCTGATTTTCAGTATACTAATATAAACACAAAAAAATGTTGGTAAATATAAATTCCAATTCTCGACACTATTAGGTAGGCTTAACATCTTAGTAGACATTCATTAATTGATCAAAATGTGATACAAATGCAGTTATGCATCTAATAAAATATACAAAGCTAATTAGCAACATGTTTCGGCATGTCACACAACATCAGGCAATTTAAAAGAATATGCTATTACCGGTTTATACATTACTGGGCTAATGTATGACAAACAAGCAAATATTAAGGTACCTTAGTATTTGCTTGTGTGTCATCGGACCAGTAGTAGCATAACATATCGTTAATTAGTTTCATAGATTGAAATGTGGAGTAAACATTATAATTCAACAGCTTTCTGGGATTTTCTGCTCATTATTTTTGGTGGTTCCTATGTCTATAATCATTTCTACTTTCAATATACCGGTACAGTATATGAAAAATATTGTTATGATTCAATTAATAACAATTTTTGTAGATAATTAGTAGTTACTATTATATATAATTATACCTATTGAAATGAAGAATGTAGTTTGAACATTGGACTAGGATTTATCTATTTGTGCTTACTTTTTTTATGTTTTTTTTTTTTCAGATAGTACAGAAGCATCATCATTAAAAAAACCAAAGTTAGACCAAGGTTTGTGTGTACTATGTTCTCAAAATTTATTATTTTTAAAGCACATTAATGCCAATGTGACAAAATCGTGACAAATAACCACACAACTAATTTCATATAATGAAATTGTCAATAAGTGTGCAAGTAGAGAAGCAGTATCTATATATTAATTCTGCTAATGCCTTGGTGCAAGTTCACCTATCTCCTCTGAAACCACTGGCAGGAATGTTCTCATATCTCATACACTGGGGTTTCTATATGTCACGAACACATTCCGCTACTTTTCAAGGCTGGATATTGGATAATAATGAAAAAAGCAGCCAAAAACCACCGAAAATCAGTACCTGTTTCGCAAGTCACCTACCTTTACTTAAATAAATCTTCTCTCTTAATCTGTACCGCAGTGTTCAGATCTAAAAAATATCACGTCAGGGCGTAAAAGAAACAGTCGACGCATGCCTTACTTCAACAAAATATATGAGCAAAGTTTTCAATGTTTGGCCTACTTTGGTATCTAGGATAAGTCACAGTCGGGCTTATCGCATCGTACTCTCAGCTGCTTAGAATTTCTGCATGGCTGGTTCTTCTAAAACTTCAGAATCAAAGTTCACTTCTTGTAAAAAATATAGTACAATGGTCTAAGGTGCTTATAGCTTAGAACGACCGCTAGCCACCATGTATTGGTAACGTGTTGAGAGCCAATAAGGCAATGTAATAAGGTAGCAGGAGACAAAAGTAAAATAGTCACAAATATACTGTAATATAAAAGCAATTTTGAGGAGTACACTGATTAGGACTGATGTAATTGTCTCTAAAATCAATACTGGAACTGATTTCCTAACTAAACACAGGTACATATACAACCTGAGGAATGTACATAGAAGTTAGTCACAGATTGCAACACTACTGCAGGTATGCTCTGGGGTATGGGGTGTCATAAGCAGCAAAAGTCATTGTTAAAATCAAAATGTAATTGCAAACTTCAATGTCTAATTTATCAAAACGTAGTCATAAATTTCTCAAAGTGTAGATATTTTCCCAAAACGAAGTTCTAATTTTTCAAAACATAGTTCAGGTTTTTCAAAACGTACAGTAGTTCAAATTTTCCAAAATGTAGTAACACGTTATATCTTCATTGCGGACTTATAAAATCCGCATACGCTATAAAACTAAAAGAAAATTCATACTTTTGGAGTCCGTACTGAGCCCAAAAAATCTGCAATGAAAATATAACGTGTTTAGTTCTAATTTTCCAAAATGTAGTTCTAATTTATTTAAAATGTAATTCAATTCAAACGTAGGTCTGACTTGATCAAACGCCCTCTCCAAATTCTGTTCCAAAACGTAAATCAAAAACCAGCCAAGCATGACTTGTTTGAAATACTTTTTCCAATGACCCAGGGAACAGTGAAGTGACCGGAGTGAATATATGGAATGACTTAGATATTGATTTGAGAACTGCGATTTGTATTTAAATACAAATTGTACGAGGTACTAATTAAGAAAATATAACCGGTTACGACCATGTGCTTTAAATGCATGGCCCCAATGGAAATCAGTGTTTTAACTGTTTGGGCTACCCTGGTAAATAAATGTGTAAAAATAAATAAATAAACAATACTAGACATACGAAATGTAAATCAAAACTAGTCAGCCAAGCATATTGTATGTAGAGGGTGCTGTAGAAGCAAGGACGTGTTTAGCAATCGTCTAGAAAAACGAAATATATTTTTACATTATTTTACCAGTTAAAGATCTTCACATCCAAAAAAAGTATATTAAATAATAATTAAGTAGTTGAGAATATTGTGGATGGTTAGGGATTATAAACCCAAATAATTCTGTGGGGTGGCACTGTAATTACCTAGGCCTAACGCAGTAACGGCTAGGCCAGGAGAAATTTTTGAAAATAGCCACCAAGGAAATCAGCATGAGAAAGGCTCCTCCTGGTGAGCTTGGCGCTGTTAATCAAATGCCATTGCGTTTGACCCTAAGTTCACAACATGAGATGGCGCCACTGGGACAGGATGAAAAGTAACAGGCCTAAAGACATTTGGTGATAAAAAAAGAACATTATATTTGTAAGAAATGTGACCTAAAAATAGATGTTTTTAAATCTAACCATGGTGAATTACCTGTGGCAGTAAAATGCGACATGCAAGGAACACAAGAGATACCATGGCATTGTAGAATATGTAGGAAATTTGCCAAGGAACTAGTTGTTGAGATCTTGGATATGAAAAGGTGTCAAAATAATTTAGAACATGAAGTACACCAAATTAAAGACCAGTTAAATAGTATCAAGACTCAAGGTATAAAGCCATGAAAAGGTAGATTTACACAGAGAAGTTCTAGAACAGGATAAGAGACGATTAAACATTGTAGTGAGCAATCTGCCAGAAATAGATAGCACCAGCACACCAAGGGCTGTTATGAAGTCTGTTAAAGATCTTTTTCATGGGAAACTCAAAGTTAATCCAAGGGATGCCAGTCAATTCGAGCGGATGTCAGTTCGAGAGGATGCCAGTTCGAGCAGATGCATTTAGTGTGAACTATAACAAGGGTGAATTTAACGTTGCCCTATTTTTGTATTTGTTTTAAATGCAAAAAATGCTCTGTGCACTAAAGTTCTGAAATGTTTTTGGTACTTTTTGATAATTATTCTATGTTTGAATTACAGTCTTGGCAAATCCGACTAAAAGATGGCCAGTAGCAAGCACTTATTTTAAAACTATAGCATTTTGCACATATAATTCATGGTTTCTGTATCCAGTTAGTTGAGGGGGGGTGGCGACTGGGCGAGTAATTTTTGGAGGGGCGTTCCCCCCCCCCCATGAACCCCCTAGATAACCCAGTGCCTGGCTCCCAGGCAAAGCCCGAGTCTCGGCAGAATGCAAATTGTTAGCTCAAAATAGGAAATTTTAATGTAATTCGTACATAACTTGCACAGGCTGTTGCACAATTTAATCTTTTCCTGCTCAAACCAGCATCCCCTCGAATAACTTCTGCTCGAATCTAGTAAAGGTAGAAATGAAGAATGAAATGGCAAAAAAAATTAGCATTAGTTAAGGCCAAAAAAACTCAAAAATGATCCTGTGTACAAGGATGTTTTCCTGAAGCCAGACCTAACCTATGACCAACGACAGAAAGAAATTGAACTACGCAAAGAGCTAAAGAGAAGAGAAAATGGAGAAAAAAAATTGAGAATTGTAGGGGGAGAATAGTATTTTCCAAACCTACCCTCACAAAAGAAGATCTATAAGCCCAAACACATATGTAAATAGATCACCAGACACAAAGCACCAGTTTAGCGGGTATTAGAAAAAAATTGAAATGCACCTTCACTAATGCACAAAGTATTGTCAACAAGAGAGATGATCTGCAACTATATATACAAGAAGAATTACAAGACATAGTGGGTATCGTGGAAACATGGCTCAACAAGGATATAGGAAATACGAAACTACAGATCCCTGGATATGAAATCACTAGATGTGACAGACAAGGTAAAGCACATGGGGTATCATCTTATACACCAAAAATGGCATTGAAACACATCCCTATGCAAATGCAATATTATCTGAATACTGTACTTTGAAGCACTGCAGTGTAATATTTCAAGCCCGGGAACCAAACTGGATTTGTTACTCTGAATAGTCTATAGAAGCTCAAACAACACTGAAATACAAAATGTATGCTTGAACCATGTATTGAAATGCCTGGGCGATGAACAGAGAGACATTTTGATTATAGGCAACTTCATTACCGAGACATTGATTGGGAACTATGCAGACCCGATCAAGTAGACCAGAAGCATTCCTTGATGTGATCCTTGACAACTTATGGTCTCAAAATGTGGCCAAACCAACAAGACAAGACTCTATTCTTGATTTAGTAATTACTTCAAACCCTGACATGATTGACGAAGTGGAGGTCATAGCATATCTTGGTACAAGTGATCATAATATGTTGCAATGGAAAATTTCACCCCCTAAGAGAGATTTCAAAAATGCCAATTATGACAAAATGAAAGCTGAATAAAGAGAATGAATTGGAAAGCTATTTTTTAAAAACAAAACAGCAGAACAAGCCAGGGTGTATGCTGAAGAGGAACTACAAAATTTGATTAAACTTATGTACCACTAAAGCATCAGTCCAAAAAGAAAGCTCTTTGGGTAACTAGGAGAGCCAAACATTCTATTTGATGATAACAAAGAGCATGGAGGAAGTATAGTAACAATAAGACAAATGGGAATCTAGAAAAATACAAAAGATGCCAGAAAGAAGCAAAATATGAAGTCAGACAAGTCAAGTGCGAGTTTGAAAGAAAGTTAGCCCAGAATATTAAAGAAGATTCGAAAAGTTTCTATGCCTACGTTAGATCAAAACAAAAAGTTAAGGATTCCATTGGTCCACTGAAGTCAGATGCAGGAGAGAAAATACCACCTGGTAAACCTACTGCAGAAGTATTAAATGATTTTTTCTTATGTCTTTACAAAAGAAAATGAAGGTGTACCAAATATTTATGAAGGACCCAAAGATAGTTTACTAAAAGAAATTATTATTACAGAAAATAAAAAAAAACTAAAAAAAGTTTGGACCCAACAAAAGCAGCTGGCCTAGATGGGATCCCTCCGTCTGTACTGAAGTCACTAGTAAAACGCTGGCAGAAGGAACAGTCCCAGATGACTGGAGAACTGCTAACATCGTCCTAATATTCAAGGGTTCACTATCAAAACCTAGTGACTATCGATCTATCAGCCTGACATCAAGCATTGGTAAAATTCTAGAATGTATTATAAGAGATCATATAGTATACCATCTGGATAAGCATAATCTAATACATGATACAACATAGTCTCAGAAAAGTCAAATCCTGCACAACAAATCTACTAGAATACCTAGAAGTTATAACTAAATTAGCTGATGAAGGTAACTCAATGGATGTCCTGTACCTTGATCTGGCGAAAGCATTTGATACAGTACCACATTGCAGATTAATAGCAAAAACCAGGGCTCATGAAATAGGAGGTGATGTATTACAGTGGATTCAGGCATGGCTAAAGAATTCGAAGAAAAATGTTGTTACCCAATGTGCAGAATCAGGCTTTGGTAACTAGTTCTGAAGTACAAGGTTCTGTGATGGGCCCCATCTGTTTTCTAATGTATATGAATGACCTGGAATGTGACATCAGCTGCCTGAACTCTACCATTAGCAAGTTTACAGATGATACCAAACTGATACTCCCAACAGCAACAACTGATGATCACATCAACATGCAAAATGATATCAACCACCTCCAAAATTGGGCGGAGAAATGGCAGATGACATTTAATATAGAGAAGTGCGGCATCATACACATCGGATACAACAATGCACGCCAAACATATAACATGGGAAGCACGATGCTAAATGAAATAAGTAAGGAAAGAGATCTCGGTGTGATGATAAGTGAGTCATTGAAAATAGCCTCCCAATGTGCAGTAGCAGCTAAGAAAGGAATCAGGGCACTGGGGATGATCAAGAGAAATTTCACTTACAGAACTAGAAGTGATCCTTAAATTATACAAATCTTTGGTCAGACCACACCTGGACTACGCTGTGCAAGTCTGGAACCCATACATGGAAAAAGATAAGCAAGTTTTAGAAAAAGTTCAGGCAAGAGCTACTCATAAGTATTTGCCCTACGAAGACCGGTTGAAAACATTAAATCTTACAACGCTCAGCAAGAGACGTGAGAGGGGAGACCTTATCCAAACCTAGAGAATAATGGACTTTTGCTGCGTATGGCATCCCATACTGGGGAACTAGAGGGATGCCATGCAACTATAGGGTACTATGTTACACACATATTTAGTCAATGCGAGTCAGAGCATACCCTACAATGCTTAAATTTGCTATTGTGACAACCGTGTGGTGGCATCAAATTAGCCAATATAACATGGAATGGAAGTGGTGCTTCCAAGAGTATGTGCGCATGCTCTTCTTCTCATAAATCGGGACCTCCACTGTTGATCGGGTATTCTATCTACAGTATAAGCCTAATCTGAATGATTAAAGTTTAAATATATTTACATACATATGACCGGTATTATTTGAATTGAAATTTGTTAAAATACAGGAATAAGAATTCTTTTGTAGAAAAGACAACCATGCCAGTATTAAAAATAAAATACATTGTATTTTGACTATAGAACACAATCTGATTCCGTATAATAGTAGGCTTACAAACTTTTCCTATCACTAGCAGAGAGCTGATGAGTGTAAGGTAAAGTGGGGGGATCAGTGATTAAGTGAGGGGGATAACTCGCAAAATAAGGTGATTTGAGGTAATTTTTAACTACTTGCGCATGATTTGTGGGCGGGGGCATGACTGGGGAATTGGCGAGTTTTTTTTTTTTTAGAGGTAGGATAAGGGACGAGCATGCCCTTTGCACATCCTCCTAGTATGCCAATACCTAGCATACCCTGCAGTGTATGCTACGGTCTGCCACTGCTGTAGTCTTATATGCCTCAAACAACTCAATCGGTAAACATAAAATGTACGCCTGGGCACAAAGGCATGATATTATATGCTAGGCCAATGCTTAATGATTTTGGCTAGGGCTAGCCTAGCCCTACATACAGGCCAACCTAGCTAGCATAGCTAGAGTACGTCTAAGGCCCCTCTCTCTCGAGTCCGGGTCGATTTGGATTGGGACATTATGGCTATTCTATCGCAATGCCATACTGCATCAACATAGCGACACTGAAGTTTAAATTTTGGGTCTGAGCTACACAGTAAGATGGGGCCAGCTACTTTATAAACAAAGGTTTGAGCAAATATGCATCAATCGCTCAGCACACCACAGTATCTACTAGAGATTTAGCCATAATGTAGTTAAACTTATTTTGTGTATGCCAAAGTCTCAAAGTGCTCGTGGAGCGGACTAGCCCATCCTCTTCCCCTAAGCATCATTTTGGGTCTGAGCTACGCAGTTATGTGTTGCCAGCTACTTTGTAAACAAAGGTCTGAACAAATCTGCATCATCGTTCAGCGCACCACAGTATCTAATAGAGATTAAGCCACCTTAACCCTGAAGCTGGTCCTACTATACTGAAATTTGTACGTTATTATTGTATACAATTTAAATCAAACATTTTTTATAATATTAATAAGAATAGATGAAGGCATTACTGTCATTTGATATATTTATTGTAGATTTGATCATCAGAAAGTTTGTAATAACATGGCTGAAACAATGGTACAGGGATGTAAACCTAATGACACCATCAATCTGGAATGAACAGTATAAATTAGATATTGCAGAAGTATTCACTGAGCTCATCCTACTGCAGCCTGAAAGACAAAGTGAAGGAGCACAAACCAAGTCAACAACAGTAAATAAGGAAAGTAGACTCATATCATTAACAGAATTATTGGGTATTATTGAAACAAGAGATCCATGTAAGGTATTAATTACAGGAAAAGGAGGGATGGGTAAAACTACCCTGCTGAGATATATTGCTCATAAATGGGCTACTGATGATGAACCTACCTGTAATGTCTTTGCTGATAAATTATTGTTTTTAATAAATATCAGAAGCATTGGAGGAAGTGCACATTTTTTGGATTTAATTATGAAGCAGATATGTACAAAAGAATTCATTCTTACAAAAAAGTTTCCATCTGATTCTGTTGAAACTTTTCTTGTCAGAAATGCTGGTGAAATAGTAATTTTATTGGATGGATATGATGAGTTGGAAAAAGATAGTAAGGACCCTATAATTCTATTCAAAGGATTGGAATTAGAAAAAAGCACTGTGGTGCTAACATCTCGGCCTGAAAACACAGCTGATTTGGTTAAATGCTGTGATGTACATATTAAAGTGAATGGATTCAGTCCAGAAAACATCAAGAAGTATCTTCAAAATCATTTTCAATCAATAAATAAATCTGAATTAGGTGAATCACTAATTACAGAGTTCAGACTTGATGAAGATAAATACCCATCATTATGGGGTGAAGGTCACCAAGAGGCTTTTCAGTTATGCTCATCACCATTGTTATTGCTTAAGATTTGTACCATATGGGAACAAAATCAACATCTTCCAAAAGACATGTCAGATCTTTTCAAGGAACTATTTTGTTGCATTTTAAGTCAATACATATGCAAGACAGATAATAAAACTGCTATATCTGAATTTGACAGAATTCCAAAGCAGTATAAGCATGCCATTTATATATTAGGAAAATGTATGTATGAAGGCCTGAAGGAAAATAGATTGAGTATTGATAAATATGTATTGACAAAAATGGGAGTGAAAGAAAAGCTAGATATAGATTTAGCACTTAAACTTGGATTTGTTTACAAAGATCAACCTGCTAGTCGAGGTGATTTAAGGATATTTTACACAACCCCAAGCAAATTACTTTCGGAGGCGCTAGCAGGGTATTACCTATCTGAACTGAAATGGAATTTAGAAGATGATGAATACGAGGAGATAAGATCCAATGAATACTTGCATATGACAAGAATGTTTACAATAGGATTTCTAGGTGCTAAAGCTGGTAAAATGCTAAAGCATTGGTTGAGAATCAGGGCCTCAAATTATTACTCAATAGCACAATGTTTCAGATACATAAAAGAAGAAAATGAAAAACCTGTACTACAGGAATTAGATAACAACATGTCCCCTGAAATGAAAGAATATAATGAACAAATGTGTCAGTCTTTTAGAAGCGTTCTTGATGTTGACAAAAGTGATTTAAGTATGCATTTATTCAAAGCTATTGAAAGATGTAGCATTGAATATAGAGACTGTCCTGAAAAACTTGAAGAGAAAGTAATATCATTGGCACCTACATCCAGTGACGTATCCAGTAATGTAATGTTTTACAAAAGCGTTGCACATGTGTCAATTGTAGTACAAGAACTACAAGCCAAGAAAATGTTAAGAAGTGACTTTGTAAACAATCAGAACTTACTTCGTTACATTTCAAATTTGAGGGAAAAAGATATCAATATCCTTTCAGATGAAATGGAATACCTACAATTAAAATATAGTCTTACGTCAGCCACTTTGAATTTTGCTTTTAATTCAACATTCTTAAATCATTTCTTGAAACATGCAAACCTTTCTTCCTTACATGTGCAAAACTGTCCAAAATCGAAAATACTTAGTGATGTTATTAGCGATTTACACAAAACTGATGTAAAGTTGACATTAACAAAACTTGATATAAGTCATACTGATCTACATGATATTGATGGAACATTACTAGGAAAACTATTTAAAGTAGCTCCTAAATTAAATTGCTTGAATATAAGTAGTTGTAGGCTATCAGGTGATATTTTGAGGGCAATGATTACAGAATGTCAGAACAGTGAAGTTACATTAGACAGATGCAGCCTTGACATTAGCAATAATGGCATTGATGATGCATTATTGGAAGATATACTGAAAGCGTATCCTAATTTATCTTGTCTTAATATTGGTTCATGTCAGTTATCAAAAGATAGTTTTCATAACCTGGCTAGTAAATTTGAAAATAACAAATCTGGAATTGCATTATGTGAACTTGATTTCTGTCAAAATAATCTAGGTAACTTAGATGGAAACATATTTGCAAGGGTATTAAGTATACTTCCTAAACTGTCATTATTGAACATAAGTAAATGCAGTTTATCAGGCAGTATTGTTAATGAAATTATGGATACATGTAGTAGGATTAATCTAATATTAAAAGACAACATGCTTAGATTGGAGGGCAACAATCTTTCAGATATTAATGGTAAATTGCTTGTGGAGTTAATAAGAGTAATATGTCATCCTTCTGATACTTTAAAGTGGAGTGATTATTCTTTTACAGCTGATAACATAGAAAAGCTTGTTAATTCAGTAGGTGAAAATGGAATATTGAATTTTCAATGGTTGGATTTGAGTAGGATTAACCTATCTTCAATTAGCGGAAGAACGCTAGCTTGCCTTATAAAGATCTCTAGAAATCTGGTGTTTTTGGACATGAGTTATTGCAGTTTAAAAGGTAGAATTGTTAATGAAATGATAGAGGAATGTTGTCTCAAGAAAGTAGTGTTGAAAAAAAATGTGCTTAGATTGGAGGGCAATGACCTTTCAAGTATTGATGGTAAATCACTTGCAGAGTTAGTCAACATAATGTACTATCTTAGTGATTCTTTCAGGTGGAGTGATTATTTTCTTACAGCTGATAACCTAAAAAAGCTGATTGAATCCATAAATGAAAATGAGACATTAAAATGGAAAAAGGTAGATTTGAGTAGGATTAACCTATCTGTAGTCACTGGAAAATTATTAGCTTGCCTTTTTAAAATTTCACCAGACCTGGTCTTTGTTAACATGAGTCATTGCAGTTTATCTGGGATTAATGTTAATGAAATGGTAGATGCGTGTGTAGGGATGAATTTAGTATTGAAAGACAATATGCTTAGATTGGAAGGAAATAACATATCACTTACTAATGGTAAATCACTTGCAGAGATTGTCCGGATAATGTATCATCCTAATGATACTTTAAAATGGAGTGATTATTCTCTTCAAGCAAATAATCTAGAAAGTCTGGTTAAATCGCTAGGTGGGACATGTAATTTTAAAAAGATAGATTTTAGGGAGATTGATTTAAGTTCAATCAGCGGAAAAACAATAGCTTGCCTTATTAAGGTCTCTACAGATTTGACTCGTATTGATATGCGTAATTGCAATGTATCTTGGAAAATTGTTAATGAAATGATGAAGGAATGTTTGAAGATGAAAGTAGTATTAAAAGAAAACCTGCTTTTTCTGGAGGGTAATGATCTTTCAGATATTGATGGTAAATCACTTTCAGAGTTAAACAGGTTACTATTTCATGATTATGATACTCTAAGATGGAAGGATTATTCTCTTACAGCTGTTAACTTAAAAAAGCTGATTGAATCACTATCAGAAGGTCAATGTGAAGCATTTCACTGTAAGAAGATAGATTTTAGTAGGATTAATCTATCTTCAACCAGTGGAAAAACACTGGCTTGCATTTTTAAAATCTTTGCAGACCTGATTCATATTGACATGAGACATTGCAGTTTATCAGGCAATATTATTAATGAAATGATGGAGGAATGTGGTAGAATGAATGTAGTATTGAAAGACAAGTTGCTTAGTCTTGATGGTAATAACCTTTCAGATATTAATGGTAAATCACTTACAAAGTTAGCCAATGTATTGTATCTTCATTATGATACTTTCAGATGGAGTGAATATTCTCTTACAACTGTTAATCTGAAAAAGCTTGTTGAGTCAATAGGTGAAAATGAGAGATTGAATTTTGAAAGGATAGATTTGAGTGGTATTAAGCTATCTTCAGTCACTGGAAGAACATTAGCTTGCCTATTTAAGATATCCCCAGACCTGAGACATGTTGACATGAGTCATTGCAATTTAACAGGCAGTATTGTTAATGAAGTGATGAAGGAGTGCAGTAGAATTGATTTAGTATTAAAAGACAACATGCTTAGATTGGAGGGAAATGACCTTTCAAATATAGATGGTAAATCACTTACAGAGTTAGTGAGGGTAAATGATAATCAGAATGATACTTTCAGATTGAGTGATTATTATCTAACAGCTACTAGTCTAGAAAGGTTGGTTAAATCAGTAGATGGAAATGAGAAACTGAATTGGGTATGGATAGAGATGAGTAATATTAACTTATTTTCAATCAGTGGAACAGCCTTAGCTTGCCTTTTTAAGATCTCTCCACATCTGATCTGTGTTGACATGAATCATTGTAATTTATCAGGCAGTATTGTGAATGAAATGTTTAATGAATGTGGTAGGGAGAAGGTAGTATTGAAAAACAACATGCTTAGAATGGTGGGCAATGACCTTTCAGATATTAATGGTAAATCACTTGCTGAGTTAGTCAGTGTAATTCATCAGCCTGATGGTAATTTCACATGGAGTTCTTATTCTCTTAAAGCTCATAACCTCCAAAATCTGGTGAAGTCGGTAGGTAAGGATGGGATATTGAATTTAAAAAGGGTAGATTTAAGTGGGATTGACCTTTCTTTAATCAAAGGAAAACAGCTAGCTTGTTTTTTAAAGATCTGTGTAAAGCTGACCTTTATTAACATGAGTAATTGCAGTTTATCAGGCAGTATTTTTAATGAAATGATAGAGGAATGTGGTTGGATGAATGTAGTATTGAAAGACAATATGCTTAATCTGGAGGGCAATGACCTTTCAGATATTGATGGTAAATCACTTGCAGAGTTAATCAAGGCATGGCAGTATAATCATTTTCTATGGAGTGATTGTTCTCTTACAGCTGATAACTTAGTACAGCTAGTTGAATCAGTAGGTAAAAATGAGAAATTAAATTGGGAAGTAATATATTTGAATAAGATTAACCTATCATCAATCAGTGGAAAAACATTAGCTTGCCTGCTTAAGATCTCCCCAGACCTGACCCATATTGACATTAGTCATTGCTGTATATCAGTCAGTATTGTTAATGAAATGATAGAGGAATGTGATAGGCTGAATGTAGTATTGAAAACCAATATGCTTGGATTAAAGGGAAATGATCTTTCAGATACTGATGGTAAATCACTTGCAAAGTTCATCAGGGTAATCAATATGCATTATAGTGGTACTTTCACATGGAGTGATTATTCTCTTACAGTTGCTAATCTAAAAATGCTGGTTGAATCAGTCGATAAAAATGAGAAATTAAATTTGAAATCGATAGATTTGAGTATGATAAACCTATCATCAATTAGTGGAAGAACATTAGCTTGCCTTTTTAATATCTCTCCAGACCTGATCCATATTTACATGAGTAATTGCAGTTTATCAGGCAATATTCTTAATGAAATGGTAGAGCAATGTGTTAGGATGAATGTGGTATTAAAAGACAACATGCTTACATTGGTTGGCAATGATCTTTCAGATATTGATGGTAAATCACTTGCTGAGTTAGTCAGTGCAATTCATCAGCCTGACGGTAATTTCACATGGAGTTATTATTCTTTTACATCTGATAACCTCCAAAACCTGGTTGAATCGACAATAGGTGTAAATAGGGTATTGAATTGGACACGGATAGATATTAGTAGGATTGACCTATCTGGAATCAGTGGAGCAACATTAGCTTGCCTTGTTACGGTCTCTACAGACCTGATCCATATTGACATGAGTAATTGCAGTTTATCAGGCAGTAATGTTAATGAAATGATAGAGGAATGTGGTAGGATGAATGTTGTGTTGAAAAACAACATGCTTAATCTGGAGGGTAATGACCTTTCAGACATTAATGGAAAAGCACTTTCAAAATTGGCCCAGATACTGTATCATCACCATGATACTGTCAGATGGAGTGCTTATCATTTTACAGCTGATAACATACAAAAGCTGGTTGAATCAGTAGGTGAAAATTACACAGTGAATTGGAAAAAGATAGAGTTGAGCATGATTAATTTATCTTCAATCAGTGGGAACATATTAGCTCGTTTTTTTAAGATCTGTTCAGACCTGATCCATATTTACATGAGTAATTGCAGTTTATCAGGCAATATTCTTAATGAAATGGTAGAGCAATGTAGTAGGAGGAATGTGGTATTGAAAGACAAAATGCTTAATGTAGAGGGCAATGACTTTTCAGATATCAATAGTAGATCACTTAAAGAGTTAATCAGGATAGCTTATGAGCCTAATGATACTTTTACATGGAGTTATTATTCTCTTACAACTGATAATCTAGAAAATCTGGTTGAGTCAGTAGGTGAAAATATGACATTTAATTGGAAAAGGATAAATCTTAGTGGGATTGACATGTCTTCAGTCAGTGAAACAACATTAGCTTACCTTTAAAGATTTCTCCAATCTGATCTATATTGACATGATTAATTGCAGTTTATCAGACAGAATTGTTAAAAAAGATGGAGGAAATTAGTAAGATGAATGTAGTACTGATGGACAGCATCACATATTGATGGTAAGTCACTTGTAGAGTTATTCAGGACACTTAGTTAAAATACACAATTTTTGCAGATAATAAGCAAATATATTATGTTCCTCCTCTGATCATAGTGAATTAGAATCTGCCAGTGTTTATTTAAGTTAAATCAACAATTTTCCTTACAGATGGTTTTTAAGCTTTTATTTTACAACCTACGTACCATATGTAAAACTGAGTACAGATACTGTACTGTAGAATACAAAACAACCAATTACCTTGTTTGTATAGATATCTGTGTGAGTTGTATAGTTGTCCAATATTTGGTTGAATAATGGTAATTTTGTAAGGTGTTTATAGTCTTAGATAATTAATATTTTACCTGGGAAGCATATTAAAAGTGCCATTTTACTCTAAAATTTCTGAGCATATTTTTATTCAATTTTTTTCTCTTAATCTGAATCTAAATATTTCTAATACCATGCTTTACTATTATCATATTATTATTATTATTATTATTATTATATTATTGCTATCCTTTATGGTCTAATTATACATGCTTGGCACATCTCTCCAAGTATTATACTAGCTAGAACTACTCTTTACTTTTGAATGTTTAATAGAGAAAAGAACACGTATATATTATGCTGCCAAACTTTGGAAGGATCTGTTTACGGATATTTAGAGCATCATTCATTCTCTCATTATTATTTTAATGATTTTATATATAAGTTATTATGATTATTAGATAAATTCATATTTTCATGACTTTTTGCTAACTAACTTCGGAATACTAATTAAAACACTTTTTTCCTAAGATGCTTTGTTCATTGTAAAATAGCTAAAAATATTAAGTTATTTTTTACGTGTACCTCAAGGAAGAGCAATGTTACAGCCAGAGAAAACAAAATGGTTGAGGTTTTTTGGGCTAATTTAATTGAATAATAAGTAATAATAATTGGCATGTAATAATAATAACGATAGTCATATGAGAGTTTGTGGAAAATATTATTAAGCTACATCTTTTTAAATAGGCATCTGAAGTGTGTATTGAATAATTGCTACTACTCCATATTTTTAAAAAATGAGTGCTCCACCAGTAGTATATTTTAATTCCAGTCAGATTCAGAGTCTATGAATGATAAAGGAGATTTCTTATAAATATGATGACTTGTCATTATTACATATGAATATATTTTTGTAAAGGTCTGTCCATACTGTATTTTCAAATTTTCTATAATATTGTCATGATGTAATATCATTTGTCACATGTTTTTGTCAAGTCAAATTTGATAGGCTGGACAGGGCTCAACACAATCAACTGCAACCTACAAAAGTTCTTCTGGATCCATTATATTTAATATACTATACCTCATCAATATTAATAAGGTAATAACAATATTTCATTGCTTAATTCCACTCAGTATGGGGTTCTGTTTCTGCTGTACTACTGTACTTCCCTGCGCATGCAAAGTCCATGCGTACATGGAGAAAAAAATACCACCTAAAATCGACTACTGCACTGCAGCCTACGAGAAGCATATGCAAACTGTGTAATCTTACCCTTACAGATGGCTAATATAGACAGAAAATTTGCTGTTTAATATTTATGAGGCATAGTAAAAAAATACAACATGGTTCTGTTTGGTAAAGCAGTGAATACTACTTCCCTTGTTGTTGGATGACTGAGACTACCTCTCTGCACTTCACATCAAGAGGTAGTTCCAATCCAACACCTTCTGAAGTAGTATTTACTACTTCACCTCAAACCACTTGTAATTTGTGTAATACTACTGGTTTATGTATAATTTCTGTAAGAGTTAACCCATACATTTGGAACCTTGTATATTACCACATACTGATATTGTAGTAGATTTGTGAACAATAACAATACATTTTTTGGTTAGTATTTTGAAAAAATTTTAGCCTTTGATAAAAATTAAGGTAAATTTTTGTAATAAATGCTGTCTTTTATTCAAATAAACATACTGTAGTTTAATTCTATAAAATCAATGTCATGTGTCATTACTGTACTTTGTATGTTACGTCACTATAACACATTTGTAATTTTCTAGTCCATTTGTTATGGCAAGAACAGGGATATTTTCTGCTCCGTACATCCAGTTTGTAGAAGACACTGTGAAGAGAGCCCATCATCTAGTGGTATAATGAAAGTTGTCAAAACTAAATAACTTACTATCAGAACCTGACAGGTAGCAATATACAATTGAAAAGTGGTTTTTAAGGATTATCCCTGATTTGTATCAAAAATCATATATGAAGAAGTACAGACAGTGGTGTCAAGAGCCAGTAAGGGCCCCGGAGCAACACCTCACATGGCGCCCCTCCCCCTTCACCTGGAACCCCACTCGACCGCTCCCCAAATTACGTCTCCTCCTTAGACCCTATTTGTCCCAACCCACATACATGAATATGATTCCAAGTGATTATTTTTTTGCAATGCAGATGTATCAGAATAATCTGATGAATAAACGATAATACCGGTAATTATATATCTAATACACGTATATATATACGTTAATTATATATCTAATACACGTATATACATACATCTAGTAATAAAAATACAGAAAGACTAAGAAAGACGCCCATAAAACCATAATGTAGAGTTTGTTCTGACAACAAAAGTTTCCATTCTGGCTTGGGCTCGGGCCCTATGGTGATTTTGTTCTTACCCCGAAAATGTTTCATCTTGGTCCGGGTTCCCCCAGTAGACCCGGGGCAGCGACACCCCCCCCCCCCCCCCCCCTCCCCCAGTAGACCCGGGGCAGCGACCCCCCCCCCCCGACCCCCTCTCGACGCCACTGAGTACAGAGCTGACAAATACATTAATATTCAATTTTGTTTGCATTCAGTTCCAGGGACCCTTATATAGGCCACCAGAGGTTGTCCCACTAATTTATCCTACAGCTCTCTGCATCCTGATAAGAATGGTGATATAAACATTCAACATTTTTATAATGATATAGACTTTAAATATATTTATCATTTATGAAAATTGAAAATATGGAATCTTCTAAATATTCATTACAACTCGCACTGCAATCGTAAAAGTTATAGAGGGCAGCAGACAGTTATTTTGATGTCAGCTTTTTATTTTAACCATATTAATTTTATAGAGGCCCTGAGGATGACCTTTCAAGTGCAGTGGTGGCGCCTGGACCCCCACCCCTCTTCCGGCTAGGTTGTCAGATCAAAATTTTGAAAATGAAAATTTGCCTATCTAAATAACGTTGTTTTAACTACCAATCACTAATATTGTGGTGTGGTGTCAAAGTTGAACCACGCCATTAAACCTCTCCCCATGAACCCAACAGGGGAGTTTTTGATTCCTGGCCATTATGTAGTCAAAAGTATCAGCAATTTTCTGCAACCACAGGGAAATAATTAGAATGTGTAATGTACACACAAATCTTAAAAACATTCTTTGAAATTTTGGGGCCGAGGTGAGAATATTTTCGAAAATAGTACCTTTAGATGGCCGGAAATGACACTTTTATACAGTAAAATTCACCATTATCACACCATCATTATTTAGTGTAGATGAATCGCCAGCAAATTTCTCTTTAATCGGATTTTTGGCAACAACATAGATCTAATACGAATGATGTACCATAGCAAATAAAACTAATTTTTGTATTTAAAATAGGCCACTCGACCTACCTCAAACCTGTGTGGGCACATTCACCTCAGACTCACCACGGTTGGGGCTTAGGTGAGAAAATTTGAGAAAATAGTACCTCAAGATGGCCGAAAATGACACTTTTAAATAGTAAAATTCATCATCACAGCATTATAATATAGTCAAAATGAGCATGGGCGTCGATTGGTGGGAACAGGAGGGATGCGTTCCCCCCCCCCCCACACTTTTCACCAATCTTCTATAATTCAAACCCCAATTTTAAAAGCGGATGAAAAAATAACAATTATGCATGACTCATGAATTTTGTCTGTTCACTTTTCTGTGCGGTACGTATTTCCCGGATCAAAACGGAGTAAAAACGCAATTGTTTATACATTTTGTAACCATCTCAGAAACCACTAGATCGATTTTGTTTGTGCAACGGCTATCAGAGGCTAAATTTACTGTGAAAACAATGTACTGAACGTTGTTAAAATTGGAAGCATGTATACTTATTAGGCCAATATTTTTACAAACTCAAACGTGCACAATTTCTACTATTTTTTTTTTCTACTATTTATTTCTTTACGATTTATTCCTTTTGTATATTATTATGACCCGTACGTATATACTAGTGTTTAATATTACCTACATACATAGGGTTACTGTTTTTCCTAATTTCAAAAAATTATAGCTCGTCAATTGAATTTCATATAGCCATTATTAAACAATAATTATACAGCCTTTGACACGGATATGTCTATCTATTCCGATTAAGTGATAGGCCTACCAAAAGTTTACAAACTCCAGTGTTACGTTGACGAAATCTCGCAATGACATCATAATAATCAGTGGCGGATTCGTTCAAGTAGGGCCGAGCCGACCCTAAATTTTCCAAAATTATTTTTGAAAAATGGAAAAAACAAAGGAAAATTATTATTAATTAATTATTATTAATTATTATTAATTAGAATTTAGGTATGAGAGTGCCATTTCCGGCAATCTAGAGGTGTCATAATCATAAATTTTCTTTCCCCAGCCCCAACCATGGTGAGGCTGAGGTGATCTACTTTCCCAACGTGCAAGTCCCTCCCTGTCCCCTGTCCCCCCTCTATTTTGCTTTCCTGGAGCCGCCACTGATAATGATAAATTAAATAAATCACCTTTATGTTTGTGAAATCAAAATGTTAACTAATGTTTTGCGTGCTCCCTATCTCCCTAGTCCTGTTTGATCGTAAATTAGACGGTATTATTTCTTCTCACAATAGTTTAGTCGCTATATTACTTACACAAAAGTGAAATTCAAAAAGAGATGAAAAGCAAAAACCTCTTGATAGATTTTAGAAGTACTGTAGGCCTACATGCCTGTTTTAAGTTTATCTTATTTGTTTTTCATAGTTAGAATAATTATGACTAAAAGGATAATTTTTTATGTGGCATATTCAAGGGGGCCCAGCCGGCCCACCATCCCTATTTTTTTTTTATTTAAAAGTTTAGAAAATTAAATTATATTCAAATTCAGTCTGAGATTGCCATTTCCGACCAAATAAAGGTGCCATTATCATAAATTTTCTTACCTTATCCCCAACCATGGTGGAGCTGAGGTGGTTGTCTACACTCTCCGTCTGTAAAAGTCCCTCTCATGGGCCCAGCTCTATTTCGAATTAGTGGCTTCGCCACTGGATTTTTTGAAAATTTCGTATGGAAATAAATATTAATTGCATTGCTTAAAATCAATTAAAAGGCCATACGCGCCAGAGCTTCCAGGGGATTCACCCCCTGGTCCCCAACCAAGGCTTGGTCCGACGGCACAAATTCTTCTGAGCTATTTTCGGCAATCATTGAGATCTAATTTTGATGTATTTACTTTACTTACTTCAAAACTGCGAGTCCGCACGTGTCTCAGCTCTACCACAGTTGGGGCTGAGGTGGTAAAATTTGGAGAAATTGTACCTCGGGATTGCTGGATATGACACTCTTATATGGTTTTCATCATCATCATCGCTGTGATGTACCATAGAACATGCTACTTCGTGTGCCGAAACCCAATCTTATATAGAGGGGTGACACCAGGGGACCCCTCGTCGGGCAGAG